CAATCGCAATATTGGGGCAAAAAATCGCAATTAGATTATTTTCCATAATCGTTCAGCCCTAATAGCTACTAGTTTTCTAACTAAAATGAAAATTTAGAGTAATCAACTAGTGTAAAAGTAAGAAAACACCCAGAGTGTGTGGCTAACATTAGCTCTGATAGCACTACAAATTTAATATTGGGCACATGTGAGTTAGTTCTGACACTGCATACATACAAACAATCCAAAAACAGCTACACTATTCTAACTGTATGTTCCATCTTGCTTACCACTTCACATTTATGTCTGTTAGCACTGGGAAGCATTGCCAGGGCACCCACACCACTGCTTCGGAACATGATGGGTGCTGACATTAATAATTAGTTATGCCTTTAGCCCTTTCAAAAACACAGATAAAGTTAAATACTGTATTACCCCAGTGAAAGGTGATTACCACTCTATAGGAGACTTTCTTAGTGGTGGCAGGTTCCATTATTCTTGCTTAGTTCTAATTCCTTAGCTAAGCATTACAGACTAATCCTTGGTCTTTACCCTTTGGCATCTGTCAGAGCTGTACTCAATGAAAGCTAACACAATCTGAACCCTAAAGAAATGAACTGCTACAGTATGTAGAAGCTTAAGAAATGTTCAATTACAGTGATATCCTTAGCCTGCATGTAAGGAGGAGTAAAATGAGTAAGAGCAGTACGGTTTGCCCTAAACAGAATGTTTGACACAGCAAGCACAGATACATAAAGCCACATCAATATGTCAACAGAGGAAGGTTTCTGGAAAAGTGATCTACATGTAATAAGTTAATGACAGACCACGCGACATCTGAGAGGGTCATCTACAAGCCTAAGCAGAATTTTTTTTGTCAGGTCTTAGAGCCAAACACCTTCTGAAATTACAGATGATGGTTACAGTATAACCGAGAGGGAATCACCTCCGCCCCTCTGTTCCAAAAGGGCATCCATTAGAAAGTTCAATCTAGTCAGCTCCTGGCCAAAGGCATAAGATTGTAGTTTTAGAATTAAGTAAACTACATGTAACTTTAAGGACAGTGCTACGTGACCCAGGATTGGCAGGATAACCTGACAGACTCATTGTGCGTCAGAATGCTGATAACCCAAAGAATAACAAAAGCTGTCTCAAGGTGGTTAAGCAAGTTTAGCTTGTTTAAAGTCCAAGAACAAATTCCCCAAGAGCACAGTAAAGTGCCTGTAATCAAAGAGGCAGAACCACAGGAAAAACACTGATCCAAGTTGAGCTGACAACTTTCACAATAATCCTCAGTTCTTGATTTTCATCATCAATATAATTATTGTAATAGCAATAGTTTGGGTGGATCACTATACCACTGTTCTACAGGACCGTGTTTATATTAAAAACAGCAGAGCAATCGAAGGGTCCAATATATTTCCACTGGTCACTTTGCACGTCAGTGGTGACGTCACCACAGTTCTGTATCTTTTATACCAGCGATAATATAAGAGAAGTGAAAACCAAGAAGTGAAGAAATTGCAGGCTTTTTTTAAAAAGATTTTCCTCAGAAAGACAAACTTGCAACATTTCTCTGTATATGCTTCTGTACTGATAGATCATTTAAATGGTGGTAAAAATCACCACAATGGTCAACTCGTGTCTTCAACCTGCAAACAAACTCAAGAAGCACATCACCCGCCTGAAACGACACCATGCACCAGCAGATTTAATGATAGTTTTGTTGTATGGTGCCATTCACTAGGGTGAGAGCCCAAAACTCCCATGGCCCACTAATGTTTAGGTCCAATCCTCTTGTTGAACCTTCATAATGTGTAAATGGAACTGCAATTTGCCAAAAGTCAGTTGGAACCTCATTTGTCACATATGAATATTAGGTGGGACAGCCATGCAAAAAACAAAGAAAGCAACTTAAATTGAACTCAACATACAAAAGTATGATGTTGAAGACTAAGCTTACAAAAAGTACAATTATTGATGAGATTATGATCTGTGTGATTGACACAATCAATGAATTTAATTTTAAATGATCACAATCGTCAGTAAACAGTTACAGTAATACCTTTAGTTGGGTGAATTGGTATGCTGTTCTGCTGACCTGTGTTGATCTAATAGGCAATAGAACACGCTTGCCTCTAATGTTTGAGCCAGATACATTCACCAAGTTTACAGTTAGCAAGAGCAGATTGATTTGATGTCACTGCAAAGCTTGAGGCAGTTTGGGTTTGACATTCAGCTTCATTACATGTCGGATTTATCAATTAGAAATATTGACTAAGCATGTGCCGATATCAGATTTTTACTTTAGGATTGAAAAGGTTTAAAAAAAAAAAAATTACAAACGCAGCATGTCATGATTTTCACTTCATGTTTATTGTACTGAAAAAAAAATCCTGATTAACAAAATGATTGCTTTATATGTAAAAAGTTGGAAGAAAAAAAAAAAAAAAGGCGGCAAACTTCAGTTGCATAGCTTGAAGCTATGCAAGTTTTCATTTGAAACTCATTTTGACTCTGCGTCAGCAGGACTGAATTCCACAATTCTGATAATCTGCTTAAAATTATGTTTTTGAAAGGCGAATCTACCATTTGAAACCTTTTCCATGAAGTAATGGTGGTTTTCGAACAGTGGTAAAACACCGCGACAAACAGGGGAAACACCCTTTGTGATAAGTAATGATATCACGCAAGTTGAAAAGCCAGAGGTGACTAACAAACCTAAATAGCTTCTTTAATAAGCACAGTCACAGTGAAATCTGTTGGTTTACCACACCGATAGACTTCTAAAAAACTAAGATCTTGGCCGTCCCAACCGACTTTTGAACCTCCACCAGCGCTGGGTCAGCAAACAAGGCAGGGAAGTGAATGAGCGGCCGACGACTGGCTCAGAATCAAGGACAAAGCATAACTGCACCCCCACGCAAGCACAGGGGATTACATAAGATCTTAACAACATAGCCACAAGCCTCCTCATGTGTCCAAATACACCCGAACCTCACAGCAGCAGTGCCCCATACCTGTAGTATTATTTAGAAAGGAAACAGAGCAAGAGATGACAGTGTAGGCATACTGTGATGAACACTGGGTTTTTATTAGTATATTTTTTTTGTTTGCTTTCACAAACCACAATATCAGATAACTTATCCGTTTGGCCACATCCAAGCCATCCTTGAGAATCCACTGTATTGTGCTGGAGTTTAAAAAAAAAAACAAAAAAAAGAACTTGGTGTGAATCGCTGCTTTGTTCAGGGCTGAAAAGTTAAAAAGGACATTGCTGATTTGCCTTGGCTCATACCGAATATGCTGTGGGATTATCAGCCATAATACCAGAATACAAGGCACAAAGCATACTTTATGTCCCAAGGTTCATAGCTGACTCCAAAGTTTTACCAACACTGCTGTTACAATACATTAACAGAAGGAACAAACTCCACATGCTTAGGCCAGTTCAACCAAAGAAGCCATACTCTGAGGCTGGCATCCATTAATGTTTTTGACTAACAGTAGTAGCATTAGTTTTTCCCTGCATTACTATAGAATTTTATGATTCTGCGAAGACATAATATAAGTCATATTTCTGAACAATTAGTTCGTTAACACTTATTTGTCACCGTCATTCCTTTCTCTTGATTCGTACCAGCCCTTTAAGCTGCGGTTTAAGCCGGAAATACAGCTTTAAAAAAATACAACCAGAGGGAAAAAAGGCCCTCTTACCACATTTAATATGAGCCAGCTACTAAATCCCTATGCTAACCACTTAACTTAGAGCTAAGCTTCTCAGAATTTATGCTGCCAAAAACCGTGTAACTACACCTCTGTTTTAATGTACACATGTAACGACAAGTTAGAGAGTGTATTTTATGTGTGTAGCGCTATTAAAAGCATTTTCACTTAAACGGCCTTCGTGACTACTCTTGGCTGGCCAGCTAACGGAGGTGGCTAATCAAAGGCTGGGTACCATAGCAAAACCAATTTAGGGGAAAAACACAACACTTGTGAAAGTTTGATTTTTTTACGGCTTTTGTCTGTCCCACATAACGCATTTTAAATAGTCAATACAAACAATAAGCATTCATTTTTTTGGCAAGGGCCTGGTGCCTGTGACGAGTGGCAGGCCGAGCTATCAAACGGTGTTTTGATCAGCTTCCACTCACCACTTGGTATCGGCTCGCTGGGTCCATCTTCGACTAGGTTCAGCTGGCTAAACGAGCCAGCCGGTGAGAACTATCAAAAAAAAATAAGACTTGGGTTTACTCCGATGTGTGAGTCACGGGCAAGAGATGTTGATTCCAGACACAACGCTGAAGAACCGGATTCTGAGCGATGAAAGAAATGGCTACAACCTACAATGCATTCACAGAAAAATACCGTTCTGTGTAAAAACCTTCACCCACTTTCAAGCTAGTCTAAAGATGTCACACTTCCGGTTAAATATTTCAAACTAAAATGTATATAATCTGTATTGCGCATTAATGTTATTATTACTATTATCGTTGTTGTATTCATTAATGCATATATGATCTTCTACTTATCTAATTTACCTTACGTTTACACCTAAGCTTTAAGCGTTATTATTATTATTATTATTGATAACAACCATATATTAGCATTATATTTTCATTGTAAGTATAAAAAAGGTACAATTAATATAATATCAATATCTAATGCACTTGGCTTCTATCCGCGCTTGCTTTCAGCTGAATTGTTAGGCAGTTAATCTGTTAGAAATTCTTGGGAATGTGATATGTTACTGTCTTTTAATATTATTCAGTTCATAACGTTTTAAGATGGCTGTTCTACTGTCTGTTTTACTTTTTCTGTACCATCTCAGATGGCCGTCAACGCTCGCTAGACGCTTTATTTTGAAGGCGACTACCTCTTGTTCCAATTGTCGTTCGACCAATTGACTCCTTCCTCGGTAGCTCGATCTCAGATTTCCAAGGATTGAGAAAGGGTGATGACGCAAATACAAAAATAAATAAATAAATTTGACGAGAGAAACCACTAGGTGGAGCCAAATTCCTCTTTTATCTCTGAACCACAACGACCCATTTCCATCCATAAAAAACACCAAAACTTTAACACCATCCTGTTGCATGACTAAAAGCAAGGTGAACATAAAATAAGATCGTTATTCATTTTCACCAAAAACCCTGGAAACCTTATTGCTGCAGTTTAAGAAGTGAGACCCCTCCTTGTTTAACATAAATAAGCAGGCCCTGAGCTATCAAACACCCTTATCAATAATATAGATATCATCTCTGGTATTGGTATTGCATCGATACTGGAGCAATAGGAGCGATACTTTGTTTCAATCCTCTACGTTTAATACACTGAATTCTGTTAAATAAATTGTTGTTATTGGTGAGTCATCTCAGTGGAGATTATTGTGGACTTCAGGAAGCACACAGCCCCACTCCCCCCCATCATCCTGACTGACACCCCCATCACCTCTGTGGACTCATTCCGCTTCCTGGGTACCACCATCACCCAGGACCTGAAGTGGGAGCCCACCATCACCTCCGTCATCAAGAAAGCCCAGCAGAGGATGTACTTCCTGAGGCAGCTGAAGAAATTCAACCTGCCAACACGGACGATGATGCAGTTCTACACTGCAATCATCGAGTCCATCCTCACCTCCTCCATCACCGTGTGGTACGCTGGAGCCACTATCAGGGACAAACAGAGACTGCAGCGTGTTGTGCGCTCTGCTGAGAAGGTGATTGGCTGCAGACTCCCATCTTTGCAGGACCTGTACACCTCCAGGATATTGCGGCGTGCAGCTCGGATCTCAGCTGACCCTTCTCACCCTGGACACAGTCTGTTTGACCTGCTCCCCTCAGGCAGGAGGCTCCGGTCCATTCGCACCAGAACCTCTCGCCATAAGAACAGTTTCTTCCCCTCTGCTGTTGGACACATGAACAATAACCATATGACTGTCCCCGCCACTAACACATGACCCTACGCTGTGTCACTGCATCATTCCATGTTTGGCACTGATCACCACCTGCACTCATGTATATATCTTTTCTACGTAGCACTCTTAATTCTTACTCTCATGTATATATCTCATGTATATCTCATGCACATATCTTTCCACGTAGCACTTTTAATTCTTATCCCTACTTTTATTTTTTCCATGTCTATTTAAGTGTTATTTATGACACCATGTTTGCACTGAAGCACCGCAGCAATTTCCTAATGTTGTAAACCTGCTCAACATTTGGCAATAAACCCCATTCTGATTCTGATCTCATCAATCATGACACACTGGTCTCCCTTACATAGACTACATAAATATCGGTATTGGTATTGGCATTACTGACTCTGTACTTTTGGATCGATACCAAAATTTGCAGTACTGCAAAACACTATCAAACACACGCAGAGAGCAACCTCAGATAGATTTGACCGTCTTTGCTCCAGGCTGGGAGTGCATTTAGACAGCTCACTGTCTAAAAGAAACATTCCTCTATCCCCACCATCAAAAATCATGTTAAAATATATGTGTGTGGATATGAGCAGAGGGGAGGCGGGGTAAACTCTTTACGTCCGTTCTCAAGTTTACTCCGTCATGTGGTCTCGCCTCCCCAGCTAATCCTGGATCAGCATTGGATTGGATCAGTGCATAACAGGCTCTGGTTGATACTTCTATCAATGCAAGTGCTGGAGTTTCAAGGATAAAGCACAAACAGCTTCAGATACTGTTGCAGGGTGACTTAAAAGCAGTAGCTTGGTCTCTCGTAGAAGCCTAACAGACCAGAAGGCATCATTAAAACAGAGCACTGAGGACAATTTGAGTCCAAATCCTCTTTTGATGCATTGTTAATAGATTTTTTTCCCCTCTCCAAACTGCTGTACGTGCATTTTCCCTCCACACGTATCATTTTTAACCAAAGTGACTGGCTCTGCTGCACTTAACTACACATCACTACATCTGCCCTGATCTGTTGCATTATTACATCATTGCTGGATTTGCCAAAAAAAAAAAGCAAAAAAAGGTTAAACAGAGCGAACAAAGAAGGCATGGAGGGGTATTGATGAAAGGCTCTTCTTGAATTGAATATTAATCCCATTCACTAAGAAGAGGGATTATTGTAGTACATGTATCAGTTAAGTGACTCATGCTGAGAGAGAAAGAGGATGGAGGGAGTGGGAGAGGTTGGAGAAACTTGTGAAAAAGGAAAAAAAAAAGGAGGGGTGGTGTAGAAGCATCATAGAGGTTTGGGCCCCGTGCAAGGCGATTAGCAGCGTTAAGGATGGAACTTGCAGCAGTGATGGATGAGTTCTTGTCTACACCTTTACTGCAGCAGCAGACCTGCATGAGAGTGAAAAACACTGGAATTCATTCGCCCAGCTCGCTGTTAGAACCCCACTTTTAGAGTCAATAACAGCCCTTCAGGACATCCATCACTGACACACACCCACACCTACCCACACACACACACCACTATCCCCACCGCGGCTGCACAGTTGGGATGTTGTTACTTGGCAACATCATTTCAAGGTAAATAGGTGCTATAAAAAGGTGTTATATAAAGAAACAGTGGGCATCTCTGTCAGATACTGCAGCTTTTCAGCGTGGCAGAGTCCCTCTCATGCCCCTGAAAGCTTTGCTGTTTCACTGGAGGTGAGCATTTTGTTAGATGCTGATAGAATCGTGCATCACAAGGGGAAGACATCTGTTTAGTTTCGCGAGGATACAAGCAGCAATTTAATTGCCAAGCTGCCGTGCATTTGGGGCTGAATTTGCATTTTATGTGTGGAGAAGTGGCAATACAGGAAGGTTTTAATATACTTCCAAATACGATGTATGCACTGTGAGAAGAATTGTTCATAATTCTTGAGCATATTTCATCTGAGGAACACAATGAAAGTTATTTACAGGGTTGTGGGGTGTGTTTGTGTGGGAGGGAATCTAAAAGGCGACTCAAACAACTATTTTAAATTGTGTTATCTAAACTTGCCAAGTAGGAGAGAAGATACATTCCTGTAGGTGTAAAACCACTGTTAAAGCCACAGCTAAAACTCCCAAGGTGCATTTAAGCAAGGACTCTCCATTAAACTTCTGCGTTTTAAAATGTGCAATAGGTTATTAATAAAATAGACATGACAGTGAAAACAAAGATATTCAGACAATTTGGTGGGCTATTTACTAAACTCAGAGGATAGAAACAAAGTATCAGTCCTATCGTGCTACTATCATTCCGATACCAATACCAACGTTGGTATTGATACCATTTGGATTGATTTGCTCATCTTTAGGGCCCACCCAATCATAAATCTTCAATTTAACCAACAAACAAGAGAGAGTGATGTATTTCCTTGAAAATGTGATTCAAAAAACATGAATAACACAGGCTGTTGACTGTAACTTGCTAAGGCCAAATTATAGGCCTTAATTTGTAAAGACTGATGTGTGACCCACCTGCACTTGTATATAAAGTTCAATACAATAGGAGTAAATTTGGGTCACAGTAATGAGTAATATCACAAACTAACCACCTCTTATTACTAGACTGAATTCATTTTTATAGAAATAAATACATTTATGTATGTAACTGCAGATAATTGTAAGTAATTTCAATGTGAATTTCTGTTAATACTGTAGCTCTTCTAGTATTGTGTGCAGTACCTTTGCACCGCTCCACACTTTGGCAATTCACTGCTCTGACATGTGGCGCTAACTTTGAGAATAATGACAGAACAGTTTTGGTTTTGATATAAAGCTTTTTTTTACCTGAATACTCAGAGAGCTGTATACAACTTCCCTCATTCACCCAAGCACCATTTTCTGCACCTAAGTTCCATCTGTCTAATAATCACACTCTGATGCTTACTAGGAGCAACTTGGGATTCAGTATCTTGGTATCCAGACTGGCCCAGGCAGGGGTTGAACCACCAACCTTCGGATTAGTGGATGATCGGCTCTAGAAAGTGAGCCCGGGCTGGTATTTGACTTATTTGACTTACTTTAAAGGTATTGTAGGTAATGCTGTTTTAAAATTTCACCACCTGGGGGCAGTGTTTGACCAGAAATTTCTAGTATTTTTTGCCCATTCTGGTTGTAAGACACAAAAGGCAGTGTTTGGCGTGAGAGTAAGGGGGATGATGGTGCAGTGGTTAGTGCTCTTGGCTCAGTGTTGCTTCACTGACTGAAAGTACTGAATTTCAACCTCCTAGTGGGCTGGCACCTGAGTTTGTAGAGAATTATGACTGTAAGAAGCAGAAGAAAATGGTTCGATCTAAGAACTATGAAAAAAAAACAAAAAACAGTTCCGGTCACCCTGTTATTTTCTTTTAGTGGCCCTAATTTTTCTTTTACATGCTTCCTGCAGAGACATGAGTAAGTTAATTGAGGATAACAGGGAAGGACTGGCGACCTGTCCCCCTAAGCTTGATGAGA